GTAGCGGAACGGAAGTCATTAAGGGTGAAAATGCACAACGAAATTACGCTCACGAGTTCTTAATAAGTTCCGACTGAAACCGTTTACCTGACGCGCCGGCTGGTGGAGCGAGGCCGCGGGAGGTGTTATGTACCGTACTTGTGTCTATTTGTCTGTCTGTACCTTTTCTTATTTATGTGTTTGTTTGGTTAATTGTCTGTATATCTGTACATACACGAGAGCACACGCACACATACATACACACACATACACACACACACACACACACACACACACACACACACACACACACACACACACACACACACACATACACATACACAACACCACGCACACAAAAACGAAAAAAAAAAAACGAATACAGGCATAAAATAGAAAAGAATTTGGAAGCCTGTTCCTCAAAAATCTTTTAACATCAAAGTCCGAAGATTTGTACTGAAATGAACCCAAAATCATCCAACAGTAAGATGGAGGAAATCCATACTCATGATATTTCTTTATGATGTCTCAATATGTCTGTCTGTCTGTCTGTCTGCCTCCCTCCTTCCCTCCCTCCCATTATCCTTCTCTCTCTCTCTCTCTTGCTCTTGCGCTCTCTCTCTCTCTCTCTCTCTCTCTCTCTCTCTCTCTCTCTCTCTCTCTCTCTCTTCTCTCTCTCTCTCTCTCTCTCTCTCTCTATATATATATATATATATATATATATATATATATATATATATATATATATATTATATATTTGTCTTTAAGATAAATTAGAGTGCGAGGAAAAATATAAATTAATAATTTAAGTGAACAAAATGTGTTCATTATATAATTGGAGATAAAGATATAAGAATAAGAACAAGGAGAACGAAGAGAGAAAAAAAAACACATGAAATATCAAGGAAGAAGGAGAAGAAAAAGAAAGAGTAAGAAGAAGAAGAAAGAGGAAGAAAACACACCGACGAAGAATATGAGAACGAAAGATCAAGAAAATTCGGTCGGTTGTTTTAACGAACCGGAGGTGTCCATTGACGGTTTGTGGGAGAGTCGAGCGATTAAACCAATTAGTGGGCGGGAAGAGGAACGCCAACCCGTGAGCAAATTGTTCGAGAATTAACTCCGTAGAACAAGAAGAGATTAAAAAAAAAGAGGCGAAGAAGAAATACGAGAAGGCGATAATGGTCTGGTACTTTGCACCATGGCGGACATCTTTCAGGGATGGTGCGTATGTTTATGTATCAGTGGTGGTGAAATTTTTATAGGTTCGTAATGCATCTTATTCAATATAAATGTCGATCTGTTTTTAACTAGGAATTAGCTAAGATATAGAGCAACATATAGATCGATAGATAGATATATGAATAGAAAGAGTCAGTCATTTTTTAAAAGGAAGTCATTCAAAAGTCGTGACATTTTGTTACTTTATAGAACACCAATAGGCCAAACCAATATCAAATTCTCCAGGTAAGACTTCTTTTCTACGTATTACTTAAAAAAAAGATAGATAAATGAATAAATAAATAAAGAAATAAGAAAATAAAAAACATCTGTAATTCCGTACCATGAAAAAATAATCTACGTATTTTCATAGTCTCGTAATGCATTTTGCTCGTGTATAGGATACTGATCTATTTCATTTTAGAGCTATTTTGCGTAACAAGTTGTGGTTGGAGTTGGTGGATCTAATCTAAGAAAAAATAAATATCTACTCGCTGCTGAAATTTTGCGGCGATTTAATTTCTAAAACCAGGAAGAATGATTCCATAAGAATATATATTTTAAAGATCTTCCGAGATAAAAAACGAGAATAAAAGAAAAAAAGTAAGAGAATATCTAAAACACAGTCCGTGCCTTGCAGATCAGATGTTATTTTTTTCCCGGAAAATCTCCTCTCGGCCTCGACTTGAAAGAGTAAAAGCTCCCTTTCATCCTCTAACTTCGGGCCATCTCGAGTAGCCATCTTGAATCCTGTCGAAATTTTGGAAGCCGTCTCGAGAAAAATGACGGGTTGGGCTTGAAATCTTCATATTTCGTCTAGATTAATGTTAAAGCAACACATGCATGCATATGCAAACACACACACGCACACGCACAGCACGCACGCACGCACACCCACACCCACACACACACACACACACACACACACACACACACACACACACACACAACACACACACACACACACACATATACACACATATGTGTATATATACATTGTGTATGTGTGTGTTTAGATATATATATATATATATATATATATATATATATATATATATATATATATATATTATTATATGTATATATGCATGGATGTATGTATGTCTATGTATCTCTCTCTCCCTATCTTCTCTCTTTCTCTATCTGTATATTTATCTATCTATCTACACGCGTGCGGCGCGCGTACGCACACACACACACACACACACACACACACACACACACACACACACACATATACACACATACACACACCACAGCACACATACACACACACACACATACGCACGCACACCACACA